CAGTTTTTCTCTTTTTTTCCTTTTTTTTTTTTTTTTTGGTTGGTTGAATTGGATATAGGGGATTTTTCAGAGATACTGGAATCAAGGCTTGGAGATACGTATTTGTTCTGATGGTTACACAATCTGCCATCTATACTATTCCACATAACCTTTCATTGTAGTTTTCAAAATTTTTCAAAACAATGATTTTTAAATTTCAATGTATTTTAAGGAAGAATTTTAATAATTATTCCTTAAAAAAAAATTATTCAAAAAGAATTCATAATTTGAGGAATTGCTGTCCTACAGAATTTCAATAATATAAAACTATCTCTATATTATATCTATATAAAAAATTTTATTGAAAAACAAAAACGTTTCAATTTCCGAATGAATTCCTCAAAATTCCTAATAAGAATTATTGATCGCGTTAATCGAAGAGAGTGCAAGATCTTATTTTCCTTTTAGTAATTCCACCTTAAACGACGCTCGTTCAAGTTATAGCATTAAAAACATGACGCGAATCGACGTAAATCGGTTCGATTCAAGACTATAATACACATTTTACGAATGAATCGCGAATAAACAGGCAGAAAATGAACGGTCTTTAATTCGACGCCGACTGTAATTTGATCTTATAAGCGAAATTACGTGATGTTGTTTATCAATCTCTCTCTTTCTCATGAATACCTGATTCGACTTCATCACCTTCTTTTCTCTCTCTCTATCTCTCTCTCTCTCATTCTCTTGCTCGTCACGGAGAATCGACCGCGTAATTTTCAGGTTGGCTGAATCTGTAATCAGAGTGAATTCACCTGTACGGAGACGTCGATATCATGGATAAGATTGCGCATACGGGTGAAATTATCGTGTACGTCCTTCGCTTTGTACGAGCTTCATTTTGAGATTTCTCTGTCTTTGTTCCTCTTGACAAAACGATTACATGGGATAAGATGTACGTTATGCATCCAGTTTTGCCAATTAATCGCGTTAATTATAGACTTCTTGAACATCTTGCCAATTTATGATGAAATTCACGTGTGTCCATGTCTCTTGATCCTGATCGAAATTCTCCTCTGGGGAGACAAAGTTAATTATCAGTTGATTCCATAGTTTTGTTCTCTTCGATTGAATTTACGAAATTAATATTCCGTTTTCGTATATTCGTATACGAAAAATGTCAAAACAGTGATTATAGAAAGTATTTATATATTATATATATATATATATATATATATACGCAGTTTAAATATTATGATGAAAAAATAAAATGATGCAAATGGAAATTAAAAGTACATGCAAATATTCTCTATAGTTATTGATGGAAAATTATACTTACGAAACAAAATTCTTCGAAGCAAAACGAGAAATGAAATCATCAAGATATATTATTCATCTGTGTCAACCCAATTCCTAACCTGTATTTTCCAACTACTTTTCCTGGTATCGAGTTGTCGATATACATATAGACTATTACGATGGTTAACTCGAACAAAATGATTCTATCTGGACGAGTTCTCTGAAATGATCAACTTGCTCAGCATTGTAGAAATTAACCAAGAAAAAATGATCTGATCGCACTTGCAGAACGGCAACAAATTCTACGTATTTACGATCAACGAACGTTACTACGTAATACGATATAACCTCTATTGTTGTCCCAATTGAATATTTACTTGTAATATTTATTAATGTTTATAGAATACAATATTTCATACCTTATAAAGAAATTGATGTCAAAAAATATATTTTCAAGTAAAAATGTTAGGTTACTTACAATTTCTCTGCATCGATAATCGTATTCAACGATCGAAGCAAAACCAATTTGTAAAACCAAATTTCTTTTCAAACTCGAACAAACAGTGTACATTTAGTAGAGACAGTGAAAAACCGTTTCGCAAAGGCATCTTGATATTTTCGTTCATAAAACGTTCTATACTTAGTTTGCATAATTTAGTCGTGCGTCTGAGCGTCGTGGTAGGCTCATGAATACCGTCGTTGATTGAGAATCGCGAATGTAGCCAGGGATCTCCGCGAGAGGGCGTCTCCTGTTCGTTAATTAACATTGTGTTTTATGGAGAAAGACGTCAAAGTATCTGTCGGGTCAGACCGCGAACCCCTTTTATCCCAAGGGCAGCAACCCTTCTTCTTTCGACCCCTTTTATATTGTTTACCAAACTCGTTATGCACAGTTTATGCTTGTCTCTTGATATTCTAATCAATAGCGTCTTTCTTTCATAATTCCTTGGAAAATTTTGAAAATTGTCGAAAATAATTTTGCAATTTTTATTAAATCCATTCTAATTTGCACGATTTCTTTTTCTTTTTTTTTAAAGAGATTTTGACAAAAACAAAATTATTCGGAATGGAAATAGAATTCGACAGGCAACTATTTTTTCTTCGACAGTAATTTCTTTCTTTTTATCGCAATGCATTAAAATCGAATTAATCGTTCTAAACATAACTTTCCATCTGAACTCCCCTATCATTTTTCCATTCCCTCCGTCACGAAAGTTTTACATTAATTTCAACCGATCTCTTTCTAATGGACAGTTGAACAAGATATTCGAAATTCCACTTCACCATCCCCCCTCTTCCAAAGCTCTCCGGCACCAAATTCTGTCCTTTCACCGCCAAAAAACATCGTTCGTTTCGAATTTTTATTTTCCTTTCAATCTTTTTCCTTAAATATTCATAATTATCCAAATTATTCAAAAATTTTCTTCTTCCACGAATAATAATCGATCGAAATCGAAAGGATAGCCAAACGTTAATGTATTCGGCCCGGGAATTTTCTCTCTGGAAGATTAAACCGTGAAATCGAAGCCGATTTTCCATAAAACGCCCACGACGCGGCAAGGAGTGCGGTATAACGTATATCGGCGCGAAATGAAGGAACGTGTTTGCAGATCGGAGGGATGGCGCATAGGAATATCTAATAAGAAGCCGGAGCTCATCCATCGTGCGTCGTGGGCCACTCGGGAGGCTGTCACCGTGGGCGTCAGCGTGCCACGGCAGAGGGGGTGATTTACATAGTAATAATATCGGGGCCTCCCCGCGCCACGGACGGAGTTTCGAGGCTCCTCAACCACCAACGGCCTTAAACTTGTTTCCTAATACGCGAGCCCGCTCCCGTCATTACCCTGCTCACCCCACCCCACCCCACCCCTTTTCACGACATCGGCGATGAAAGATCGTTATTCTTGCCGGGGTTGGGAAGCGCCATTGAAACCGCTTAAAATTACACTCGTGCGCCCTTTAAAATTTTACACAAAATGGGAAGAATATTACTCTATATGCATGAGTATTCGAACCCCTCCCCTATTTTCACGACGTTCACGCGAAACAATCCAAGAACATCAAAATTATTCTTATATATATATCTGAAGAACTACCTAAGATAAATCACCTCGACGTGGACTCGATAAAGAAATATGCGGAATAATTGATTAGATTTGAAGTAAGGTTGATCGATTAATTAATAGGATCGGATTTTTTTTTAATTCTCCGATTTTCACAACGCGAAATAATTTTTTATATATATATATCTGAAAAACTACGTATATCATCTCGACATGGACTCGATAAAGAGATATGCGGAATAATTGGTCAGATCTAAGGAAAGGTCGATCGATTAATTAATGGGATCGGATCTTTTTTTAATTCTCCGATTTTCATGACGCGAAATAATCGAAATCGTACGAGCATTAAAATTATTCTTATATATATATCTGAATTATTATATATTATTATTATATATCTGAAGAACTAGGTGTATATGACCTCGACGTGGACTCGATAAAGAGATATGCGGAATAATTGATCAGATCTAAGGAAAGGTCAATCGATTAATTAATGGAATCGGATTTTTTTTTAATTCTCCGATTTTCACAACGCGAAATAATTTTATATATATATATATATCTGAAAAACTACGTATATCATCTCGACATGGACTCGATAAAGAGATATGCGGAATAATTGATCAGATCTAAGAGAAGGTTGACTGATTAATTAATGGGATCGGATTTTTTTTTAATTCTCCGATTTTCACGACGCGAAATAATCGAAATCGTACGAATATTAAAATTATTCTTATATATATATAATAGATATATTACAAATATTATAGATCTATATTATAATATATATTTGAAGAACTAGGTGTATATGATCTCGACGTGGACTCGATAAAGAGATATCCGGAATAATTGATCAGATTTGAAGTAAGGTCGATCGATTAATTAATGGGATCGGATTTTTGTTTAATTCGATTTCCAAGAAGAGGAAAAAAACATTTTTCCCTCTCTTTGGATCCCTCGCGCCGATAAGAGACGGTAATCCAGTCCAGAAAAGAAG